ACTGTAAGATTATGAATGAGGACGGGATGGGGCAGGAAGGATCTTGCGCAGTCAGTGTCGTGTTGGCTTGGGTACTACGGCATCAGCCATTATTTGAAGAAAAACTCAGATCAGAGCAGTAATGGGGTTTGAGCGAGCTATGCAACTGGCGGCAGGATTCCTGTCACCAAAAGGACTCAAAATTAGGATTTCCCAGTAAACGAAGATTCGGATTGGCCCTTGCATTTGTGTACGCTATCCCGGCCGGTGAATGAAAATAATTGTTCATTGAATTCTCTGAGCACATTTATGAAATAAATTTGCAGTTCTTTCACTCATTTACTTAGTGACAAAACATTATTCGTACATATCGCTCCTACAGCATACTGCGTGCAGCGTGCATTTATAGTAAGAACCTGGCAGTGATCTCAATATTGAAGGGCTGAAAAGGAAAATATCTTTGAAATCCGATTCTAATACCCGTTCTTCAATGTGGTTCATTTGTGTATTGATAATGTCTTGGTAATCATAACATTAGAACATTAGGAATACTATTATTTAGGAGGAACAGGCACGTGTGCCCTACTCCTTGCAGTGAAGATGATCTCATCATTCTGGTATTACTATTGAAAACGTTTCTGGACGAATCCCTATAAAAAGAAACATTCATAATAAATTTGCTTCCTAGAGAATGTTATAATATTCTCTCGCTCTCTGGGTCTTCGTATTCTGCTTGGAGGTAGCAAACCAAATCCGGGGAAATTCAAACGTAATGCAATAATATCACGTTCATCTCTGTATGAGAAGCCGGAGATTAACGTTTCCCACTTGAAACACCTTGCACATTATCCTTTTACAGCCGCGTAATGTGCCTATCCATTAGCTTCAAAATATAAGTATTTTTTTCTTTTTGGTTATTTCTGCAGCTCCAGGGGATGTCGATTTGGGCTATCCGTGCCGGGTACCCACTATGTCCCCAATGGGGACACACATTATCCTTTACACTAACTACACTTGCTGGCTCCTATCTGTGGTCAGCAGACTCACAAAGCCTTCCGCGACAACATACATACATGAAGGCAGACAAATAACTATGCTCTCGGCAGCGACACTTCAGACCGAAATGCTGCGTCAGCAAACTATCTAGCCATCTCGTCCATTTTAAATATAACTAAATTATGTAAATAAATATGCATAACCATAACGCACTAAGGAAACCGTATTCCGAAAAAAAATTAAAAATGAGTAATTGAAGGGGTGAATATCAAGATTGACTGAATAGAAAATCAGAATTGAAGGGATTGCACGAAGGCCGTCAGTGTAATTTATTATCACACGGTTGGAAAGAAATGAAAATCTTTGTTCAGTAATATTTTTTTAAAAGGAGAGAGCGGATAGTTAGTGCTTTGTTTTTCAAGTAGGCGAAGTTGAACTTCTCAGTTTTGAAATTCGTCATATCTGTTTAGAAACGTGGGCTTAGAATATTTTACGTAGTCAAATGCTCTCTTAAACCAGTAAGGGTGTGCATGTCACAGTATACAATACATCATTGTATACTATTTTACATCATAAAGTGTGGTTTTGTAATCTCCATTACTTTGGATTTAAGCACTTAATTGCAGAAAGTCTATGCCAAACCAAGAATGACCCATCTCTGCGTTATATCAAATTTTCGTTAGACGTAGACGTAGAGTAAGTCTGAAATGCCCGCCTTTTGGCACCCGATTTTTCTTAACATGCAACCTGCATGTTAGACATAAAAATAATTTATATTATTTAAGGATTTGAGTATAATTTAACACAGCCTGTAAAACACTCCCTCTAACTGAACAAATTAAAAAGACTGCGAACAAAATCAATTACCATTGACTATCACCTCTCCCCGTAGCAAGTCGCACAGTTTTTAAATGTTTTGACGAAAATAAATAAATAAAGAAACCTACTGATAGGACAGTGGAGTCGATTATTCTCTAGCACCCAGTCTGCAACTTAATTTGCCGAACGGCCGTTGATACTTGAATGTACATAACAATTTTCTTGGTAAAATTATATCGTATTTTATATTTTATTTTCAACATTAAAATAGTTATTTTATTTGGAATTGAATCTTGAGTTTTCATGACTCATATTTTGTATCTACAAACGTGGATTTCCTTCGAAGTCAATCTGTACTAAATAGGTCCCGGACGAGCCATAAAGAGTTGTCTGGAGGAAGTTTTAAAGTCAGTGTTACGAAACTGCTCGACGAGCTTCTTGCAATTACGTAACACATTTTCCAGCGTTTGTTTTTTGCACTTCGTCCCAACGTTGCCGCGCGTAGCTCACAATGCTAGTGGGATTCTATTCATTAACAGTGACCTTCTCAACCTTCGCGACGACTAAATAATAAATGAACTTGATTCATCGCACGGAATAGCATCGGCTTACTTCATATGGGCTGCATTTAAAACAGCATGAAATTGAATTTATCTGTGGAACTTTTTCATTCTTTGATCTGTATTCATTTCAGGTACGTGTTGATAGCTTAAACCTTACTCTGCGGACCTGACTTTAAAAAATATTTTTGGAAAATGAATTTCTCATTTTTATTCATTTTTTATGGTATAAGTAATTTACCTTAATAATTATTTATCTTGCGAGAAAGTAAAATAAATACTGTAACTCGTGTAGTAACGAAGTACTTTTATTTTGTGTTGTATACTTCAGTTTCGAAAATCTCTGGTTAAAAGGATCAATTTAAAAATTAAGATTCCAGTAGGGAAATGGTTATACATTTAATGCTTGTAGGGGAACTTATATAGTATGTGTGTATACATTATTTGAACAGCATTGTGGAATGTATTTGCAATTAACTTGAACATTCACTTCAGTATTTCGTGACTAATGATGACTAGCGGTGGTAAAACAGCATGTACTTTCTCTCGCGTATTTTCACGCAGAATTACGCGAAAAGTACTTTTTTCGCGAATTGGCTATCCCAGGACCACGCGGACGTGGCACTTGTCCACACCGTGGCTGTCATATTCTCCCAGGGGTAAATGTAGATGACTCTTTTTTTTGGGGGGGGTGATCAGTTCATTTATGCCGAATACATTTTTAAACTCCAGGGTTGTTGGCTCTGGAGGGGATGGTGATCGGTGAATTGACAATTACAAACATAGACACAACCACGCCTGAGACGGGATTCGTAACCACGATCCTTCTGTCCGAGACCGCTATGGCATTACGGTCTTTGAGATCTCTGCTACCTCAATTTATTATTATTATTATTATTATTATTATTATTATTATTATTATTGCTGTTTTGTCACTGTGCAATTTTTATGACTGTACTGAGAAAATCTGACTGGAAGCCTATCAATACGAAGAAAAGCGTCGTACCAGAAAAAAAAGAAAAGAAAACTTTACGAAAAATAAGGAAATTCCACCTACATGATTCTTGAAAGACTCGTAAATATCTTATGGGTTGAAACATTTAAGGAAGTTAGGTACTGTAAAAGTTTACACCTTCGTGAACCTGCTGAAGGTATTTTCTCTCTAACTTTTCGCAAAAATTTGATAGAACTTGGGCTACCAAATACCGAGATGGTATAGGACAATGTTTTAGGAGGTAGTTTTTTTTAACAAGAGATACACATGTTAATTTATTCTGCAATGGATTATTCAAAATTCCCTAGTAATTATGCTGAAACGTGATCTCATCGGTTTTACATTTTATTATTATTATTTTTATTATTTTCTTTCCTATCTTTCTCTCAAAATTCCTTTGTAATCTTTCTGCTACAAACTTTTCTTCTCGCAATACTTGTGACAATTATTGATTTTATTTAGAATGAATGGCCCTAACGCAAGGGTGGAAGACTAGTATTGTAAAATACATTAGAGTGTAAATACTCTTAATACTCTTGAATACATTACACATTAGTAAGTACGTACTCTATAGGAGCGAAGAGTTATTTAATCTCGCATTGTTAATTTTTATATTGTTTATTTCCTCCTGGTGCATCATGTGAAAATGTCCAAACCTCGTCAGTTCCCCTTCTCGTTCTACTGGATTTCAAACCCTCGCTCGTGAGCGTTAATGATCATTGGAAATGTTGCCATAATTACGGAGTTTTAAATTGTAATTATTCATTCGTCGTAGCACACTATTTCCTCTACATGACATAAAAATTATATGTAGTCGTTCTTCCTGTGTAAATGTTCTATCGAATGAGGCCAGATAATTAATGCTGGTAAACTTTGGAATACATCGTTGCCAGCGCAGATTTTTTTGTTCAATAAACCCTTTAATGAAAGCGCTTATACCGGCGGATAATATTATACCGCGTCTTTCATAGACTACTTCATCGCTGTTTTATCACTAAAGAGCAGTTATTAATAAAGTAAAACAGTAGTCGACAGAAAGTCTATTTCTGTGGTAAACAGAGCATAGCAATAAAAGTTTTTAAATTAAGTATGACGTTGGGTGGTTTCCCGAATTGCATTTAGAGCTCTTAATAGGTTTTGAGATTAAGACGAACATTAAACCTTAAGTATCGGAATGACTAAGACACGCGCGAGTGTGTGTGTGCGCGTGCGTGTTCTTGTCTGATAAAAAAAAATACACACGTGGGTTAAATACAGTACGTATCTAAGTAATGGTGGAGACTGATCAGGTTTTAGCATTGGTACTGCTGCAGTATAATTTGCTCCGTCTAAAAGAAAGATCAAAGCAACATTTTGAATTCGGAAAGAAGAGAAATTGTGTCAGTAAACTTGTACTGCCTACAGGCAGGATGATTATTGAAGTTATAGAATTAATCTTGTTTCGTATCTATGATATCATATTTTATAATATTTTATATTGTATTACGGTCATGGATGTTTTCTTTTAATTAAAAACATCACTCGCAATTATTTCGTACGTTTACGTTTCTCACTGTTCTGTAAATGCTCCTGTGTGTGCTGTATAAATGTGTTCTTATTTTGGCGTTACACGTTTTGTATTACTGTATTTGAATTATTTTTCTTTATTTCAGTCCTTCTCACTTGCAAAAAAGAAGATAGTGCACTACACGACGATGGACGCTCAAAAGAGAGTGAATGCTGCCTTCCTAATAGCCTCATACGCTGTAAGTTTATCCCGTTAAATAATATTATGATAAAGAAGTTCATTGCGTAATTTAACTGGATGAATATGATACTTTCAGTAGAACGACTTTCGTTGCTCGGCATTATGCACATCATTTAACTTTCGTAATTCGCTCAGGAACCCAGAGATAAAGAAACAACAGATATACATTTGAAGTTTTGTTACGTTGGATTATTTGAAATATACTTGTGGACTATAGAATAATTCAAGTATTCGTTACCACATATTGCTTGAGCTTTCAAAATGCTCAATTTTGATATTGATGGAAATATTTCCAGACTGAAATGCGAGAAATTGGTTATCTATGCATAAAATACAATCCAAAATATTGAACTCTTCACGCTGGGAAGTTCCTTATTCATCCAAAAATTGTGTAGTACTGTGAACTTGTCATAAGCTAGTATTGGTAGGATTCACAAAACTAGTTTGTCTCAATATTCTGTTTCTAATATGTAGTTTCAATTTTTATCTTCTGTATCATATACATTTAAAACATAATTTCATTGGAATCTTCGTTATGAATTAAAGTAGAGCCATTTCTCTGCGAACCTTGGTAATTCGTAAACACATAATATTACTTTTAATTTTATGAAATCAATTTCATAGCTTCAGTGTGTGCTACGTGTAGCTGCATATTTAAATTTAGTCTAAACATTTCTACGGACGCGTAAAATCTAAGTTGGTAAATACTTCGTTAATTTTTCTGTGAATGTTTCGGCGTTCATGTGGATAATTCATTACATTTGGAAGACTGTATTGTGTGCTCCGAAAGCAATGACCATTTTTACATATTCATCTGAGCTGGCGAAGATAGAGGAACGAGAATCGACAGTATCAAAATGCTACTTAAAAACCACACTACTCATTTCAGTGTAACGCTAATGTAAACGTCCAAACGGAAAGGAGCAATTTTATTTTCCGTTCCTCATTATTCCGTAAACCGGATATATTTTTGCTCATTCCTGGTTGAGATTGAATATTTATTCTAGATATTAAGATGCATTGTAAATGCATTATTATTATTATTATTATTATTATTATTATTATTATTATTATTCGAATATTACTTTTTCCGGTGTTAACACGTTGGAATCTAGTGCAAAATAATGGCTTTCATTTTTAGCGCGGAGTTTACGCCGTGCGCATGCAAGTGAAGACGTTGATTCGGTATGTCGTAGGAGGGGTAGTTCCGCAACTAGTTTAATTAAAATGGGCTCTGCAGCGTGAAAGGATGCGTATTCGAAAATCGTAGTAGATACTTGCTGCTGATCAGACGTAAGTGGAAGTTTGGGGGGTTGGACTTTTCTTTGAGGAGAGAATCCTGCATTCGTCAAAATTGTTTTTGGTTCGGATCTCTACCACGAGGTTTGTACTATATTAAATTGAATTATTATTATTACATTTGGTGCAAGGGTTTTTGACCAGAATTGATGAAATATTCCCTCCCTAAAATAAATACTGCTTGGAAAAGCTAAGGCTTTTTCTTATATCTGTATAGACATCATGGATGTAAGCGAAATTTGGATTTAGGACAGACGTATGGTACAACAGAGTTTATGTACATTAAATCCTGTAAATGCACTTTTGGCACCCAAACTTCATCTTCGAATAATAGAAAGTCAACGGACAACACGATAATTCAATAGATCAGTTGCTGAATTTGTAAAGTGGTTTCGGAAATTGAATACTTAAAAATAAAACTTGTAGTAACATTGAAACTGAATTACTGTGATCTGGAAACTCTTTGGATAACCTGTTATTCACACTTGCAAACCTCAACTATGCGATTAATGTTAATTTTTGTTTTGTGCTTTATCTGATCTAGATGAAATGAACAAGCCAGTTAACGCATCACTATTTTCATAATTTTTGTCGAAATGTCAAACCTTTACTGGAAATCGAACCGGAAGTTTTAGTGATGAGAGAAATCGCACATGCAGAACGTAAGCTTGGTAACAATATCGTAAGTTATTTAATGGTTCACAATACCTCCGCCATGTTTTAGTCATTTACGTTAGGACACAAGTGTGTTCTGAATTTCGCGAACTGTCAATCTTTCCGGCGAGTGACATTCAGCGTTTTATTTCGTTCTGGTAGCATTTCCTTCTTTTGATAGGATTTTGCATATTTTTATGACGGTGTGGAGTGAATTCAAGTTAATTGTAATTTGTATTTCCGATGACGTTTATTGAGCAATTGAAAACGTTTCACATAACCATCGAGATTAGAAGATAAATTTGCAATGGAGATTGGCGAGGCCTCAAAAAGTAAAGGATTAACAGCCCAAACAATATATAAAATGACCGACGGAACGTAGCTCATGGAAGCTAGAAGATTGCCATTGTCTCTGCAGCCATTCAGACCTGGATGTCTGAGGGCTCGAGTCTCGACGGTGACTATACAGCTAGGCTGAATTCGAATTCAGTCGCTGACTGGAGGAGAATTGAAGCGGCCGGCTGACCTGTGAGGTAGTTATCTGTGGTTTTTCCGATCGGTACCAGGCTTATGCCGGAGCAATACTCTAATAAACGGACCAAGAACCGAGCGCTGGCGCACCACGCTCACAACAACATACGCTACACGACCACCTACGTCGGGAGACTAGTTGGGAGCTTAGTTAGCTCCGGCTGGTACTGTGGCTCGCTGAGGGATGTACCTAGAGGGGGAAATCCCTTGCGAGCTGACGTCAGGTGATTTGTATCCATGAGATACGCTGGATTAAAGTAACATTTTATAGTTAACACCCGGATAAACTTCTCTTATATTGATCGTCAATAATTTAAATAATGTTCTCATATACTAAAGAGATTGCTAAAGAAAATAATTTTCAGTCTTCGTCTCAACTTGGAACATTTATGGTCTTCCGTCGCAAATGTATGTTAACGTAATATTTATGGTAAATATTAGTCGTAGTTTGCGGTTCGTACTTCTGCTTTAATTTATTGGGGTGTAGGGGTATATTTCATTACGGAAATTTGTCATTTTTGTAGAAATAAAGCATTTTATAAATAAAAAAATACAATAAAATCTCTGTTAAGCGATCGCTCATGATTCCGGAGAAAAATGGCTTCTAGCTTAGGTTACCACAGAAACTTCAGATAATGCATAAAAATAATAGTTTGTCTGAAACACTATCATCCCCGCAAGATAAGCAACTTTAGATATCACTAATCTACATAATTTGACTTGGATACCAATGTAGGAAAGGTCTAAATTGAATAAACAGTAATATCCTCCATGATATTCGCATTTTATAGTATTTCGGATCGAAATCGCAAATTTGCCAGGAAAGTACAGTAGTCTACACTCGTTCATCTGTGAAATGTACCTTGCAGCTGACCGCAGGGTTAGGTGGCCTCTTAAGAGGGCATTTGCAGATGTCTTATGGGAGAAACCTATGTGTTCCTCGAACAAATTAAGGTGACCGCTTAATCGAGGTAGCCGTTGCAGCAGGTTTCACTGTATTTTATTTATAATAATGTCACAAACATTTATAAAACTAAAAAATATCGTAAGATTGAGTTAATTATTTGTATAACTAAATGTATTCATTGCTTTTAAACGTTCAAAACCATGACCGCTAAAACCACACTTCCGCCCCGCCGCAGCGGAAATCAGTCCACACGGTTTTCAATTTACGCCGCACTCCAATATACGATTGTTATGCTCTATGAATCGTTTGTTTCATTCAGGCTGTTATGATCTGCACCGCATGCTGTTGTCAGGGAACGTTCTTCTGAAAGTTTGCTGGGTAAAAGATGCTGTACGTAACTCATCATTACAAAATGCAAAAAAAAAAAAAACAAAAAAACAACAACAAACAAATGTGGTGCTCCTACAGCCCATACTTTCTCGCGTTATAATAAACTTTTGCAATTTTTGAAAATTCAGAGTTCAAAGAACATTAGATCTGCGCCATTCTTTTAATCATCTTTTCTATCCTTTGTTGTGTCGATTACGGAAATAACTCTTTTCAAAGGATCTCTGGAAAAAAAAATGTTTGTCTGCAGTGATAACCATCATAGAACATGTGCAACGTCATTGATTAGTTCAAGTGCAGATGTTTTAATATTAAAAGACATAGTGGTTGAAAAAACACAAGAAAATGGGTTCTCGGCTATCCGGGAGACGCCGCGTCGTTGGCTGGGGTGCCAACCTGGGGTGTGGCACCCCAGCCAACGACGCGGCGTCTCCCGGATAGCCGAGAATTCATGGATTCGAGCCGCGGAAGCTTACGTACACAAGAAAATGAGCATATTAGAAGAGAGAAAATTCGGAATGTTGAGAATATTGATGATACCTGTGACTGGACAGGAAATGAGTTGGAATATCCGAAAGATGTTGGGTTATCCAACTTAAACCTAGAAAGTTCTCAGTTATTGCTAAAACATTTTGTCATCTCTGTGCACTTTTCGTTTCTTTACTTAATTTTGAATTCTTTACTTTATTGTAAATAACTCTTTATTAAATAAAAAAAATAATCTTGAATTTGTTTCATTTTCTATGTATTAAAGGACGTAAATAAGTGAGACATTAAGTAAGAAATGAGAAAATTAATGTATTTTTAGAAAAAACAAACTTAACAATATGTTAATGGTGTTATACAAGGGTTAGTACATGTTAGTACTAATATTTTTTACATATTTTCGTGCTCGAATTATGCACGATTGATAGAACATTCCGCACGGCAGACCATAAGTGGTGAGTTCGACGCTACTTGAATGATACGAGTTCCCTGTCTGCCAGGTCAATAAACTGCAGAATTATGCGTAGGAACCTCTATTGGAGCAACATGCTTATAAAGAGTAATTTTGTTGACAAGTTTCCTTATCCAGTTTGACAGGAAAAATAATCATGTATTGCCCAGATGCCATGGTCCATCACACCATTTGCTACGAACAGGTCTTGCCAACCCAAGTTCTGAGCCAAAACTGTTCATAATTTAGAAATACCTGTAGTTAGTGCTTCAATGTTTCGGAAGTAGCAGTTTCTTCAAACTTTCCATTTTCGGGGTAAATTACAGTGTATTTATTGGAATATACGTAACTGTGAGAAAAAAGATGATTCACTGGAATTAATGAACTAGAATTATTGTTGCATTGGCGTTCGTGAGTCAAAGGGTAAATTATTGGTGGTTGTGTCTTTCAAATTCGGAAAATATTGAATATATTCCGTGTGAAAATTGTAGTACTTGTAATGAAAAATTACTGGAATGAGGGCAAGGAAATAATTTACCGATTTTTCTTTTGATTTTACATTTTCAACATCGCACATTTAATGCCTACATCCATACGAATGTGAATTCGCGTAGGCCGTCAAGGGAAATGTGAAGAAGAAGAGTTGGCCTCGTCGATTTAGTTTGCCGCGGCATATGCATAAAATGCATATATAACGAATTAATCCCAAGGGTATCTAGTGTTCTGCGAAATCGCTGATGAACTGAGTTTTCAGAGAACTGAACTTTTCATCTCCTAATTTGTCGGGACTGTGTCAGGGACACCACGTGCCAGCTTAGGCGAAATAAATGTCACTGAACAACGTAACAGACTCTGCCGCGGTCCAATAAAATGAGTTGTCACTGTGCGGTCACCTTTGTGGGTGGATTGCACGGGGAGATATTTGTGTGATGAAATAAAACGTGTATTGCGTATTGCCGTGGGTTGGAATAGAGATGCAAAGTACTAATTCAAATTTTGGTTAATCTCTTATGAGTGTACTGCATCCAACCAAATGTTGTGGCCCGTATGCATGTCCAGTTTGCAAACGTGCTTTTATACGGGTATGCATTGTATTGACGTCTTGATTTGTGAAGCGGCAAAATCCCTTCATGAAGCTAAAATGTATGCTCATCTGCGTTTAAAAGCAGCACTTTCATTTCGGAAACTTAATTCTCAAAATAAATTGTTCTAGGCACCAGTTACAAAGTAGTGTATTTTATACTACCTTTTTAGTTACGTCATAAATAATTAGTACATTTTCTACGTCATTTATACTAATTGAATGATTGAGTTATTTGTTTAATTTAGCGTGAAAAAACTGTTCACTTATAGAGGAGTAGTAAAATGATTTACTCGTTTTCTTGAGCTCCTGAATCCCCAGTCCTCTTTCATTGTATAGTTGAATGAATTTATCAAAGAACATGGTTGGCAACGTATGAAAATGAGTATATTGTTGGAAAAAAACGTATATTGTATAGTTCCTTAATTTAGCTAGAAGAAATATTCAATCGATTTTTACTTTCTCGCCGTACTACGTAGGCTACTTGAGCATATTAAAGAGAAGGTAATGCTGCAGCAAACATCGGCGTTTTCCCCCTTCTTTTGTTTTTAGAAAAAATGTATTGTGGGCCCTGATAACAAAGATCGCTCTCCTGTATGTAGTAAATTACTCCCTCTAATACGTTATGTAGTGAGAATCCAGGTTTCTTGGGTCATTGATACCGAAAAATAGGTTGATGAAATTCGCCCGTCCGTCCCTAGTCAATGCTAGCGCCAAACCGTTCCGACAATTTTCTTCAAAATTGATATTCCCCGATTGGTCAAGCGATACTCGAGGTCCTACGGAATTGAAACAGATATTTTAATTTTTAGGTTACTGTACACGAAGCCACTGCAATTTCAAAATTTTGACAAAATATTTCCCCGGTTAGAGCAAAGGATGCATAAAAATGCGCGGGTCTCGTTTTTGGATGAATAATCCGAACTTTCAAAAGCTGTAGAAACTGAAATTCTCTCTGCGCCTTCCAACAACTAAAATATTGAAGATTTTTTTCCCCTTTTCTGATTAAAATTTTTTCTTCAAAGACATCTGTAAATAGTCGTCTGTAATTTTTCACAAGTTAAGGAGGTTTCTCGGGATTTTACGCAAAATGTGGAGAATTATTAAAAAATTACTTTTTTTAGAAAAAGCTCCATTTTTTTCTTTAATGTTTTTTCGAATAGAGCAAAGTACGCTTATAAAAATGGCGCATGGTCTATTTTTGGTGAATCCTCATTATTTTTCAAATCCTGCAAACAAACAAAAAAAAGACGTTGCGAAACTGCAATATTGACTTTTTCTGAATGATGCGTTCTAAAAAAAATAATCTCTAAATACGGTGATTTACAATTTTTTGCCTACAAAAACGAGATTTCGCGTAATTTGTGTTTAAAGCAAAGGCATTTTTTCTTCCCAAAAATGAGCTCAAAATTTGTTCTTTAAATGTTTTCCGTGGATATGTCAAAGGACGCTCAAAAATGGCACACGACTTATTTTCTTGAACTGTCTGAATTTTTGGAAATTCAAGAAGTTTGAAAGAAATGTGACTCAGTATGATTATGTGCTGTTGTATCTTCACTAGTTTCATGTATGCATTGAATCTTTCTGCGCATCCCCAGTTCTCTTTTAGAGGTTGAACAGATTGGGAAAAAAAAGAAATATTTTACGGACAGTATAAGATTCTCTAATATTTACAATACCGTCACCTGGCTCTTGTCTTCACGAACGTGCCATTGCCGTGGGAGCTGGCCGCGCTCCCATGCCACCCCAGCGAGGCCACTGACACCACCTATCTCAAGCTTCGCTTTCGCGTCCCACCTGTCGGATCGAATGGCGATCAGTTACCACCCGGACGCAATTGATCGTTCTCGTTGTATCTTATTTCCATTTGCCTCAGATGAAACGAGACGAAGTGCGATGGTGAAGACGCTCATTCCAGCCGCATCGGAGATTCAAGTTCCCGACCCGACTGTTTCCTTAATCGGACTAGAATGAATGCAACAACCGAGACGAGAACCTCTGTGCAGACAGTTTATCGTCTAGGAAACTTCACCGAATATTGCCTACATGTATGACCTTAACCGTTCTTTACCGTTCTAATTTTGATTTTTTTGGAGATCATTATTGCAACAAATTACGCCATTTTACTTATGCAGGAATTCGTTTGTATAACATCGATTCGTAAGAAATAATGTCACAATCGCAGTTATCAGTGTGATTTACGTTTCGGTTTACATTTCTGTAGATATTACTAAATTGAGGCGCAACAGGATCAAAAACGTTGTTTATTTAATGTCAAATACTTAACTGTGTGACATGCTATGGGAAGATGTGTATTGTCCACATTTCAAATTGCTCGTTCATGTGGAAGTTCTGGGATCTTTTCTTCGCACCCTAACCCATATACAAGTTGAATGATAAATGTAGGTGAAAACGAGCGTTAATGGCAAGAATTATGAAGAAAATATTCGTTTCCATGCAATAATTATTTGCAGACTTCTGCTTTTATCCCTCATCGTGTCCTTCGTAATGAAAAATACTTACTGCCGTGAGAACATGGCGAACGTCTACTTGAATGAACATTCCACTCGAAACTAGAAAACTTGCACAGATAGTGTAGTTATATTTATATCTAGAAGCAAAACAAGGGGCCCTCTGTTAATAATTACTCTTGCATTATGCTGTAGTAACCCGCGTGATATGCTAAGCTGTTGAAGACGTTCGTGTAGATTTGATTATTGTACCTACCTACAACTTCGAGTGGGCGATCCACGGCTTGAAGCAGAGTTAAAGTTCCAAGTCGTCTCGGTAACCGCGTTGGTTAACCCGCCGTATACATATGAGGAAACTTCAAGGATGACACAGATGGGCGGAAGGTTATAATTGCCGATCTGCGGAGATCTCTCCGTCTCCCGAATTTGTAGGTCGTTGTTTGTTGGGTGGTGGGTGAGCGCGTGGGTGTCCTGCGCGCTT